AGCTCCTTTTTTTTGTCCGAAAAGTGTCTGAGGGTACTTTATGAGCTTTGGCTGTGTAGCCGCCGGGTCATCTATGGCTGATAGGTCCGGCACTGGGATGCTATTTTCTGTTGTCCTTCCAATAGGTGCTACGTCCCGCAGAAGGACTGAGCTCAGCGGGGGCACAACATTAAATACACTCTCGTCTCTCTGAGGCGGCACCTGCTGTGAGGATGATGAGTGTGGTGGTTCCGGCGGCGGCGACTCTGTTCTCACTCTTTTAAAAACCTGAACATCGATTGTTGTGACATCGTTAGTGAGTGCGGTATATTTTTTGTGTCTGTCCAGTCCACTGTCCTCCTTCATCTGCACCCGGCCGCGAGACGTTCTACGATGTGTTTGCTCCCGTGCTTCGACTATGAGTTCGGTCCAATTCACATTTGACGTTGCCTGATTACGTTAATTAATGTTGCTTTTAAAGGGAAACACATGTTTGCTCTTAATTTATTATTTAATTGTTCATTTTGATAATCAAAAATAAAAATGTTGGTATATTTTCTCACAGTCATTTTTGATCAATGAATGGGTGGGCCCAGTGCCAGAGTGGGTGGGCCTAGGCCCAGTAGGCCCACCCATAACGCCGTGGCTGTGTTAAACACAATGAGAAAATGCGTTGTAGCATACATGCTAGCGTTAGCCATACTAGCCTGTATACATGCTTATTGCACAGCTAGCATTAGCTATATTTACCTTGTTTACACTTAGCGGTCCTATGTGTTAATCTGTGTATGTTACACTTGCATGTATGAGATCATTAAGAGCCTTGTAACTTCTTTTGTTATAGTTTCACTCTGTTTGAATGTCAGTGGACTGCAAATAAGTCAATAAAGGAGCATGGCTGCTCATTCCCTGGCTCTCAAAAGAGTTTGGCTGGCTGTTTAATCTGTTCACACTGAGACAGTACAACACAGAGAGAGAACAGTACACCTATTGTGTAAGTACATACAGTACAAGCAGGTCACACAGTATGATGACAAATACATAAACTCTGTTAAAAATCTGTTTTTATTAAAAAGTACAGGCTGCATATATGTTCTCAGCCTTGGAGAAACTTGACATGTTTTGGGATGTGTCTGAACCTCTCTTTAGTGGTTCATTAATAAAACAGATATTTGAACGTGTGCCTACTTTGTTCATGTACTGTTGAGGTTAATTTCAGTAGTTGCGTGCTATAATGTATTTACAAAGTGTGAAGAGGAGGCAACTTTAGAATAGGGAACCTGTTCAGGTCAATTAGAGTCAAATTACTAGCTTATTGGTTATGAACAAGACTTCACTTTAAAATAGGGAACATATTCTTAGATAGAAATACCTAATTAGAGTCAAACTACTAGCTTATTGGTTATGAACAAGACTTCACTTTAAAATAGGGAACATGTTCTTAGATATAAATACCTCATTTTGAGTTATTTAGACACAATTAACACTTGTAGTTTAATGTCTTGTTACATAAGAATAGATCATATTTGTTAAGTGTTATTATGGGAGAATTACTATTCTTGTGGTACTACTGCCTTATTAGGCCCATATTGAGCAGAGCATATTAAGACCAAAACTCATGTACAACAACTTCCTTACTTGCAACAAATAAGCACTAATTAGAGGGTTATTGAGGAAAAAGTCTCAACTAATGGCTTATTACTTGTAGAATATGGTCATGTAGAATAAGGCATTAATAAGTGTTTTATAATGACTAATAAAGAGCCAATATACTGCTAATATGCATATTAATTAACAACTAGTTGATGGTTAATTTGTGTACCTTAAAGTGGACCTATCATGCTATATTTGAATAATATAGTGTAGGACCATACCTATATAAGGCATATTTATACTTTTTTTTTTTCAAAATACCAAACAGATCATGCATTTTAGCCATGCCTCATTTTGCTCAATTTGACAATTTTTAGCAGATTCTGTGAGAACAGCACCACCTACAGGCCTGGCATATGTACTACAGCTTCTCCAGCGCTTTCGAACCAGTGTTAATTTCGTCAACGAAAACTATGACGAAAAATGTTCGTCAACGACCTTTTTTACATGACTAAGACGAGACGATGACGAGCTAAAAATAGATTATTGATAACGAAAATTTGACGAAATGTATATTTAGTTTGCGTTGACGAGACGAGACGGGACTAAGGTGTTAATGGTGGACTATCGGACATTCAAAATGCAGGGTATTTCCCCCCAAGTGTCCGTCTTGTCTGTCAAAATGCATCTTACATTTCTAACTTGCAATATCATTATTTCCGCTCTCTTCACTCCAGAAGAGCGATCTCCCTCTCTCTCTGTGTGCGGGGGCGGGGCCTAACAGACACGCTGCAGCGGCAGAGATCTGCCGGGGACGGAGCGTTCAGAGAGTATCGAGACACTCTACAAGACTCGATGTGGACAAAGCTCGTTTGCCATGTTTTCGCGTTAGCGCGTTGACACGAGTAGAGTAGTCTGTCCGTCCAAAAGGCGTCATATTCAGTCGGAGAAATGCACAATTTTCGACTTCCTTAACTCGTAGCTCTGTTGCCCCAATTACGAGTAACGTTATCACATCAAGTGTGCAGAGGTGGGAGAAGTACTCAGATCTTGTAGCTAAGTAAAAAAATACCATAGTGTAGGAAGAGTTCCTCAAGTCAAAGTATGATCATCAAAATATATTTAAAGTAGCGACAGTAAAAGTAGTCATTGTGCAGATTGGTCCATTTCAGAATAATATGATATGTTTTATAATCATTGATCATTAAAGTGTTCTCAAAGCTAGTAAAGGTGCAGCTAGTTTGAAGGACTTTGTATACTGCAGGGTAGCTTGTGAATTTACTAAAGTCTGAGTTAATACTTGATTATATTTCACATCATTCATCCACATCTGTAAAGTAACTAAAGGTATTAAATACATGTAGTGGAGTAGAAGTACACCATTTAACTATGAACTGTAGTGGAGTAGAAGTACACAGTAGCAAAACATTTAAATACTCCATTAAAGTACAAGTACCTCAACATTTTACTCAAGTACAGTACAATATTTTAACATAATTATACATATTTCATTTATTTCACATTTAAATAAAGCAATTAATTAGGTTAACAATTTGTTAGTTTTTTCCTTTAAAAAATAACAAAAAGTAAATACAAGAATACCGTTAAAGTACCGGATCGATAAGCAGTATTGATAAGACTAGTAGTACCGTAGAAAACCTTAACGATACCCATCCCTAGATATTACACAAGTAAAGTGTTAAGAGAGTGCAACACTTGATGCTGTCACCTTGATTACAATGTCAGAAACCTGTATTTGCCTAACTGAATTGGTTTAAAGAGAGAAAACATTTTGACTAAAAGTTGACTAAAATGTAATTTTTCATCGACTAAAAGTAGACTAAAACGTTTGGAGTTTTCGTCGACTAAAACTAGACTAAAACTATGAAGGATAGAAATGACTAAAATGTGACTAAAACTAATAACCATTTTCGTCTAAAGACTAAGACTAAGACTAAATCAAAAACAGCTGCCAAAATTAACACTGTTTCGAACGGCAATGGCCGTGGCTGTCTCCTCCTGATTGGTGGAGTTGGCCCAATAGCCGTAGCGCCACCGTCCTGACGTCAGGACAGTGTTCAAATCTGGATCAGTTTTTATCAGATCCGTTGCAGCCCCTTTTTTAGAGATTTGGGTATGGAGGAAAATAGAGAGGGTTGTGTTTTCTGACACTTGGTGAGTTCCCTGGAACACCGGGGACACATATTCATGTAGAAAAGACGTACAAAAGTGCATTTTGCATGATAGGTCCCCTTTAATATAAAGTGTTACAATTTTTTCTTTTAATGTTTATTTTTATTATCTTTGCTTTTTAATGACTGTTTTTAAATGCCATTTTCTGAATGTCTTTCATTTTTGTAAAGCACTTTGAATTGCCTTGTGTTGAAAGGTGCTATATAAATAAACTTGCCTTGCCTTGCCTGCACACACTGAGCATGCTTGTGCTTATAAATACATTGTTTGTATATTGTGTTTTGAGCTCGGTCAAATATACTCATACACATACTCAAGTGCTCTACTTAAATACATTTTGGTTGTACTTTTACTTATCTTGAGATTTTCCATTTAATGCTTACTTAGTATAGTGAAATTACAAAGGAAATGCAAAACACTGTTGCAAATGAATAATAGATTGCTGCACCCTTCTACTGCCGCTTACATGTGAATGCTTATGTTGAGTAGTAATACTATCAATACTTTTGAGTACATATATACAGCTATGGAGAAAATGAAGAGACCACTGCAGCATTATGAATTATTCTGGTTTGACTATTTATAGGTTTGTGTTTGGGTAAAATTAACCTATTTTTTATTTTATTCTATGAACTAGTGACAACATTTATCTGTGTTAAAATGCAACAGACACTGGAATGTAATCGCTGCTATACATGTAGCATTGGTTTGGGAAATAGTGATTTAAAGACTTTGGCATATTTTTTGCAAATATAGATATTTATGTATTTGTACGGCGACCTTGAGAGCCTTGAAAGGCGCCTATATAAAATAAATGAATTATTATTATTATTATACCAGTACAAATTAACTATATGCAGTTACAATGTGCAATGTGCAAAATTTGGGGGGTTGTGCAGGACTGACAGTGTTGAAGAAGATTTTGAACTAGTGGATGAAGCAAATGTTTACTGGTCTAATAAATCAAGAAAGAAGCGGGGTCGTTTTCTCATGGACAAAACAATGTGGGGGGGTGTTTAACAATCTAAAATATAAAAAGAGGAATCAACTCTAAGCACCCACTGAAACTACAGTACCTGCTGAAAGTTAGAGTAAAATAACTGAGAATAATTCAGCGAAACCCTTTGTTAAACATGTCACATATCACTTATATAGTTTATATTCCATGTCCTTTGTGTTGAATAATGTTTTATTAGTTGTTGATAATTGGAATGTCCTGTGTTTGATGGTTTCAGTTGGCTACACCATGAACGACCTGATCTTTGAGTGGCAGGAGAATTGGCCTGTCCAAATTGCTGAAGGCCTTACACTGCCACAGTTCCTGCTCAAAGATGAATCAGACCTCAGATACTGCACCAAGCACTACAACACAGGTGACACACCCACTCAAACACAATCTCACACTCACTCACTCACTCACTCACTCACTCACTCACTCACTCTGCCATAAGCAGCATGACACAGTACTGTAACACACACACAATATGAGCCGGTTGCCTCATTTCATTTCATATTTGTACTGGGATTAAGTCAAGAAAAAAAATCTAATCCAAAAGGAAGAAACATCCATACTGATATTGCCTTTCCATTAACCCTAATCCTGACAGATCTTTGTAGCCATACTCCTGTTTAATCCTGCAGACATCATTTTAGCATGCACATCCAGAATATCCAAGTGTAGGGGAAGCCTATGTTGATGCACAGGTCATTCAGCCATTAATGGCTTGTAAAATCAGAATTGCGCCCTGTTTTTCTTCAGAGCTTCAGAAGTGTATCATGAAATGATATGATATAAATAAGCCAATATAATTTTAGCATGTCTCTGCTTTGTTGCAGGTAAATTTACTTGTATTGAAGTGCGGTTCCACCTGGAGCGTCAGATGGGCTACTACCTGATCCAGATGTACATCCCCTCTCTGCTCATTGTCATACTGTCCTGGGTGTCCTTCTGGATCAACATGGATGCTGCCCCAGCCAGAGTGGCTCTGGGCATCACCACGGTGCTGACCATGACCACACAGAGCTCCGGCTCCAGGACCTCACTGCCTAAGGTCTGTGATTCTGGATTGTAGCACACGTCTGTTCATCTGTCTCTATTAGTCTGTCCTCCCTCTGTCCTCCCTCTGTCCCCACACCTGCAGGCTAGGTGAGGTCGAGACTCTAAATTGCCCATAGGTTTAAATGTGAGTCGGAATGGTTGTCTGTCTGTATTTGTCAGTGTCGTGGCTTCCTTCCTTGTTTATCTATTAAGCCACTAGACGCCTAAAGGCCCCTACACACCAAGCTGACACCAAAGAACACGTCCCGACAGAACACGACTGTTGTGTCGCCTCACGTCTCCTGCGTCTTGGTCAACAGTCGCACTGGAACACACCGCAAAGACTTCAGCCGACGGCCAAGTAGCACGTACGAACTGCGCATGCGTGAGTGGCAATAACTCTCCTTACCAGCAGGCGGCGGTAGTGTGTATTCGTCATTCAAAAGAGGCAACCGGAAGACAGACTGCGTCATCAACACACTCTCACTCCCTAAACGTCCAGGAGCGACGCTTGGTCAGGGTCCCGTGGCGTGCAGTTGTGACGCGCCGAGGCTCCTTCAGCTTCATAAACGGACGCAAAGAGCTTTCAACTGATTGCAATGTATTCCCATCGGCGGCGGTATTTGACGCTCATGGAAGCACCGCATCGGTCCATGTCGGCGGCCCTTAAAGGCAATGTGAGCGTCCATTCCCATTGGATAACGGAGAATTGTACACCCGGAAGTAAGTATTCTCCTTACTGTCGATTGATTTTACAGTGATATCTGCACTACTCATCAACTCAAAAACACCAGATTATCCTTGTTAATTACACAACATTGATTGGTTTAAATTGTGTGCAATACTTTTGTGTTTTTCCCCTTCGATTCGGAGAAACAAATATTTTTTCTGAGTTTAGGATGGCAGAAGACACTACACTACCCAGAATCCTCAGCTATCGTTTGGGACTACACCATGTGCTTTGCTTGACAAACCCCGTGATTAGTTCTCAAGCTCTGTGATTGGATGTTGGAGTGGCAGTGCGCGAAGTTTACACCGAGCATCAAATGGAATGAAACCCATCGATGGCACACTATCCAAATCAAGACTCGAACGTGTCCTACCCCCCCCCCCCCCCCCCCCCTTAGGTCACAGGCTCCTCCAACAGTGCAACACAATAAAACAGATACACAGAAAATAGTGCAAGTAAATACAAAAAGAAAAATAGTAAAATAGTAAAAAGTGAAATAGTGCAATAAGAGTCTATATACAAGTGATTGGAATATGATATATTAAATAAATAATTTCTAAGTAGCAGCCAGATGAATGTTATGGATGTTGTTTCTAAGTTCAGGTGTTTAATAGTCTTATGGCCTGTGGGATGAAGCTGTCCCTGAGTCTGGTGGTTTTAGTCCGGATGCTGCGGTACCGCCTGCCAGACGGCAGCAGACAGAACAGTTTGTGGCTGGGGTGATGGGGGTCTTTTATAATCCTGAAGGCTTTCTTTAAGGTTAACCTGGTATTTTTACTCCATTTATTTTAGTTACTTTACAGATTTGGATTAATGATGTGAAATATAAACAACCCTTAAATCAGACTTTAGTTACACCTGAGTAAAATTCAGTGAAGGTGATTGTCAAGTGCCAACAATCAGGCGAGATATTTGATAGTGGGTGCTTGAGAAGACAAAAAATGTATCTGCAGATCCCTATAAAGTATATTCATTACTCGTTATTCTCTAATTGTTCATCAAAAACTGTATATAATGGCTATTTTGCACATCCCTTTCAAGATTACAAGATTTTCAAAGGTTTATTGAAATATCATACACAACTACGGTGTAGTTATGCAATGATGACAAACTTGGGTCATAGGTTCCTCAACAAGAGATCTATCAATATGTGTGTACCTCCACCATTAAACTGTCATATTCTGCACATTTCTTATTCTATCTACATACATCTTATAAGAGTATAATAAATATGTATAATATCAGTTAAAATAAGTGCTTCAACATAGTTAACATTGCAGGAAAGTTGATTGTCAAGTCCCAAAACAAACCATGCAATATATTAAACGTTAAGTACTTTGTCAGGCTTAATATAGATACCCCCAAAGCTTTTTGCTTACATGTATTTAAAAGAAGACCTTAACCTAAAGTATTATTTAATGTTTAAATAAAGCCTAATTAGTCTCTCTGTTTTGCACATCCTCCTATTAATATCTTTGTACATCCGGCACTAAACTGTTTTATTCTAGATACCATTTACAGTATCTTCTTGATATTTTCTATTCTATATTTATATCATTGACCTTCTACTTTCCTCCTATTTTGTATATACTCTTAATATTTAAATGTTTTCATCAAATATAACACATTCAAAAGTGCTTTACAAAAATGAAAGACATTAAGAAAAAGGCATTTTAAAACAGTCATTAAAAAGCAACACAATCTACCTGCATTGCAATGACTCTAAACGTGTAATAACGTGCTTTAACCAGTAGGAGGTGCGGGTTAAAAAGCTGTCAAGTTTACAGTGTTAACAAAATAAAATATACTGCTGTTTCTGGTTTAGTTTACGACGGATATATTCTGTTATTGTTTTGATATTTGTAACACAAATGCGATGTAAAAAACCCACAGCAACACAGAAAAGATGGTCTTAACATGACCCAGCGGTCTAGTAGTTAATAAAAAACAATAATATCAAAACAAATTATTACTACTAACTTTATTGTGAAATTAAAAGAGAACGGTAAAAGAATAGTTTCCGGTCTATTCTGAGTCCCGATCTCTGTAGATAAATAAAGAACTACGACATATGTGTAATATTTAATGCAGCCGAACCATTTATTACAATGCATTCATGTGATGACTTTCAAATAGTAAAGCAAGCACTGCTGAATAAAGTATGATTTGATCTTTTACGAAACGTTTTTTTTCATATGGAGGTCAACCAATCACAGAGCTTGAGAACTAATCACGGGGTTTGTCAAACAAAGCACATGCTGTAGTCCTAAATGATAGCTGAGGATTCTGGGTAGTGTAGTGTCTTCTGCCATCCTAAACTCCGAAAAAAATGTGTTTCTCCGAATCGAAGGGGAAAAATACAAAAGTATTGCACACAATTTAAACCAATCAATGTTGTGTAATTAACAAGGATAATCTGGTGTTTTTGAGTTGATGAGTAGTGCAGATATCACTGTAAAATCAATCGACAGTAAGGAGAATACTTACTTCCGGGTGTAAAATTGTTCGTTATCCAATGGGAATGGACGCTCACATTGCCTTTAAAGGCCCTGACACACCAGGCAGTCACCAGAGAACTCGCCGACACCCGACACCGACAGTCCCATCGACGAGTTCTCCTGCGTATTGGCCGTGTGTCGCACTGGAAATCACCGCAAAGACTTCAGCCGAGCACGTACGAACTGCGCATGCGTGAGTGGCAATAACTCTCCTTACCAGCAGGCGGCGGTAGTGTGTATTCGTCATTCAAAATAGGCAACAACCGGAAGACAGAGAAGAAGAACAGACTGATATAAACAAACAAATACCATGTGCGTTCCATTTTCACTCTCGTCCATCGAAAACATGTTTTAGAATATAAAAATACATGAATGATGAAATGAGCACATAAAGTGCAGACATACTATAAAATCACAGTTAATAGACCTGCATCTGATGATCGCAGTGTTCTGGCGGATGTGTAGTTTATTGAGTCAGCAATGTAGTAATGGCCACTTCTTGCTAAATTTACGATGAGATGAAAAACCGGACTTGACCAAACAAATCACGGAGCTCTCAGCAGAGGACAGCCGGGGACGCTCCCGCCGATATCAGAGATGTCCCTGCTATGTGTGGGAGGTAAGAGAGGACATTTAAGGGCTATGTTTGATGTCTTTAAGTATCACCTGCTGGTGTTTAGCTGCTGTCTTGTGCCTTAAATAGTTTGTTTACGTCCCTCACTTCCGTTTCGCTTCTCATTTGCTAGCTGAACAGCTGATCAGAGTGGTTTCTTGGCCCGATAGCTTGTGTCCGACACCCGGCCGATTCAACATGTTGAATCGGCCGGGTGTCGACCGTGAAAGGCCAAATAAGGCGTGTCACGGCCGAGGGTTCGGGACACACCAAATTGACTTTGGGCGACAAGGAACCCGTTTTCGCCCAACAACGCAAGACGGCCGATATCGGCCTGGTGTGTAGGGGCCTTAAGGGCCGCCGACATGGACCGATGCGGTGCTTCCCTGAGCGTCAAATACCGCCACCGATGGGAATACATTGCAATCAGTTGAAAGCTCTTTGCGTCCGTTTATGAAGCTGAAGGAGCCTCTGCGCGTCCCAACTGCACGCCACGGGACCCTGACCAAGCGTCGCTCCTGGACGTTTAGGGAGTGAGAGTGTGTTGGCGTGATATATACAAACTGAAAGAAACTATTTAAGCATTGTGGCTGGCAACCTTAAAGTACTGCTGCTACCACATTCCATGCATCAGTAATTATAATCCAAGATTATATTAATATACAACATCATAACACTGACAGGCAAATTATGTATCATCATGTACATCTGTATCTTCTGACTTTTATTGTAGTATAGCTAATTATATCCTCATTCTAATGTTGTGTTATCTAATGGCTGTAGAATGAAGGTACGAAATAAAGTTTTGTATTTTGCAGTAGCAGTAAAAAGTGGTTTATTATCAAATGTAGAACAAGTGGTTTATTCAAATGTAGAACAAGTGGTTTATTCAAATGTAGAACAAGTGGTTGATTATCAAATGTAGAACAATCAATGTATCAATGTAAACAATATCAATGTAAACAATCGACTAAAATACAATAAGATAAAAATAGTAAGTAATAGGCAAAAAAAAAAAAAGAAATAGCCACATCGTCCAGGGTCCTGTCCGTTAAATACTTGAAGAAGCTATTGTCCACCTCATGCAGGAAATGTGGCAGCAAATTACGTGGCAACTGAGTTGGTCTTCGGTTTCTTCATTCCAGATCGCCATGATGTAAAATAAATTCTTG